GTCGGGAGGATGTATAGTAATTCATGCTTTACAATGACTTCAAAAATCATATCCAAAAAATTGAATTTACATCCATATATTGATCTTGTACTAGTCTAGTAAAGTGTGTCTCAAGAGCCAAAGTTTCTACATATTTCTCTGACATCTTAACTTCACAATCTGGGTTCTATCAATATTCCTGTCAATGGTTCTATAATAGCAATAAGCATACGATTAAAAAAAAGAAGTTGAAAAGAACTGGCCATAATAATAACCTCTTGGAATGATTTTTAGAATCAAGCATTAGCATACACAACAATAACAAACTTGAAAATAATCTAACCTTGTTAATAATGTTATGACACCAGCTATTTAGCTGAAAAGAGACAAGAAGCAAAACATGAAAATAAATAAATCTGTAATCTGCAAGTGAATACTTACTGTAAATCGTTAATACGAAATAGTTTTAAAATACGCTGTGTCTTTCTCACAGCTGTCTTATGCATTCAGTTAACTTTTCTCTTAAGGATGAGGTTAGAGCTTGGAAAGAAATGTAAGCAAAAGAGTGAACAAACACAAGGAAATCAGACAATCAGAGTAGTAAATACTAAATAGACCATTCTGTAAATATGCAAAATATGTTTTCTTTGAAGATGCAGGAACAACCAACCAACTGGAACAGAAGAGGAACAAGGGCACAACAGCAAAGAAAAAGAAAGCATAACTGCTTGGATGTTGGGACTATTAAGTAAGTGCCCGCAAGAATCAATTCATAGACACGTGTCGCTTAACATAACTTTTGCTTTTCTTTTTCTGAATTGAAAAAAATTAGTTTAGAATGGTTCATTGTTTGTCTCACATCTCAAGTTTAGAAGACAGTCTTTCTTAATTTAAAAAAAAGCCAATTAACACCTTTTTCCTTTGAAAACAAATGCTCCTTAGCTAACAGTGCTCAGGACCAGTATGAGCAAGAAAACTTCAACATGTTGAAACTTTTGAAATTATTTTTCACAACTAGAATATCACAGATCTAGGATGAAACTGAAAAACATGAAAACTTTAGGATGACAGAATATATTAAAACATGAAAACTTTAGGATGAGAATATATTAAAACATGAAAACTTTAGGATGAGAATATATTAAAACATGAAAACTTTAGGGTGACAAATAATATATTAAATATGATCGTGTCTATTCTATGCACATACTGCATAGAAACCATCAGCCAGGACTCTTTTAAGGGGCTTCAGCCATAGGTAGCTTAATTCAATGGGATGCTAGGCTACTCATAAGGACCTCAGCCAGGACTCTTTTAAGGGGCTTCAGCCATAGGTAGCTTAATTCAATGGGATGCTAGGCTACTCATAAGGACCTCAGTCATCCAGCATGCTCCATCAAGTATAGAAATCTCAACTGACAACTATTACGTCACAAATTATCTCATCATCTGCCTATTCAACTACTCCTTACCATGTCAAATCAATAAAAAACAATCTGTAATAGGAAATGGAAGGGGATGAAAATACCTGTCTAAGCTTCTATCACCAAAATAACCACTTTGAAATCCACGCTTGTCATTTGAGGGCTTAGCCCAAGCATCCGTCATGCCACCACGTGATCGAGGTCTCTCCATAAACTCTGAACTTCTGGATTCTTCAGAAACACCTGACCGTGAATTAGGTCGTGCATCCAACAGTGCACCAATCCTGCCTCCTCCTGAACCAGGCCTCATATTGCCAACAGTTTTTTGGCCAAACCTAACCTTGTCATCCAACTGATGTATCAAAATCTCTAGTTCCCTCTCTTTTTGAAGTATTTGCTCATGCAAACCGCCGAATTTATCCGCAGAAACTTGTGCAGCCTCGCTCTTCAGATCCGCTTCCTGGGATTTTAGATGATCGATTTCTTTTTTGAGCATCTTTTCTTCATCTGTTTCCGGTCTGAAAATATTGAATAATGCAAATTTAAAACAAAATGGAAGATGTGTTACAGAACTTTGACGAAGTATACAGCAGAGACAATATAGCTGAGTCTGCTTTGCTTAGAGAGAAAATGGCCTGTGCCACCTATTATATTGGTAAGATGGCTGACTGGCAAGGCAAACAGTAAGGTGAGGATGCAAAATATACCAAAAAAATCGATGGTACATGGAAAAGAGAATCTTGATCAATCATGCAAAACTTTCAAGCCCAATGTAAACAAGAACAGCGCAACGCTTCATTTATTGCATAGTGTAAGAGATAGCTGATAGGCAAACAGAAAACCATTTGTAATATGATTGAAGGTGTCTCATTCTCAGTATGAGCATTCCCTAATTATCAAATAAAAGTTTTCAAAGTTGTTTGATTTATGGTGGAAGGACAATTAACACAAAGAATTGTTCCACAATTAAATCAAGTGATATGCAAGGACCAGCTATCAATTGATATGATACATTCCTTCAGTTTTGCGGCTAATGGAATCCATATAGAAAAAGTATGCAACAGTCGACCTTCACATTAAAGGAAAACTCATCGACCAATTCCCTGTTTACTTTTTAAAAGTGCAATAACAAGTCCAATGAGCATCTACAATCAAGCAAGAAGACTAAATACCAAAATGTGCAAGTCGTTAATATGTACTCATTAAAAAATACTTTTGTAGGCCGATAAATCTCTTTCATCTCAAACATGGGCCCATATATGTACCCTGGCACAAAGATGGACGAATAGAAATAGAACAGGACACTTCAAAAAATTTTGCAAACAGGGACACTATTGTCTAACAGAAACAATAAGTCTAGTATACATTGGTAACAGGAATTCCCGCATGAAAGTACAAGCTCAATGGTACACAAGTCAACTGGGAATCCTACTAACAAAACACATGACCACTGATTAGGAGTTATACTACAAATGGTGACAATCAGTTACAGGCCCCTACAAGAAACAATAATTGGTAAACAATTGCTTCATAAGTTATATATACATATACATTATATACATGTATCATAAATAACACAGAACTCCTTTAACAACTGTATAAGTAACTTATACACCAATAAAATGCCTGTGGTACAAAATCTTGGCACCAGTCTCTTAAGTTTATGGTGAAGTAAATGCTTTTTAAGAAATCAACAAGTACTTACTGAATGAGAAATATAGTTTTAACTGTATGGAGAACAGTAAAGAGGCATTTGGTGATGGTCCAATTGTCTGTACAAGACCCATAGTAAACAACAAGGATTAACCAATATGTTATATACAGCATATACAGAATTTGTCAGTGCAAACATTCCAAAATTTATTAACAGGACAACCAAAAAACCATGTTCATTGCAGCTGTATTCATAGCAATAGCTACCACATCATTGTCAAAGTATATCATTCATGAGTTCATTAAGACCAAGTGCAATGGCTAACAATTGGGACAATTATTTGGTGCAATGGCTAAGCAAGTGGATAGGCAAATGAAAAGTAGGGGAGAGAAAAGGCAAAATTTGCCTACCGGTTAAATTTCACCAAGGGCCCCGCGTGTCAGAAGATGGTTGAGTGATGTGGAGGAAAGATAAAGTGAAAAACTTTTGAAAAACTAGTTGTTGTGGAGTTGAAAGGCAATTGGAAAAGGCAAGTGATGTGGAGGGAGAATAAAGTGAGGTGGAAGGAGAGAGAAAGGCAATATTTGCCTTGCCATTGGAGATGGTCTAAGTATAAGAGATAAATCTTATAATATAAATCAAAGTATAATTCAATAAAAATATCACTTGTGTGCTGTAGAAAAATAAGGAAAATGTGTTTCTAAAACTCTCAAGTGGATTTCTAAGAAATAAAGAGTGCAGACTCTATCAGAACACCCCCATACAATGAGGTCATCTATACCAGGCACAAGTGGTTGGGGGTTAGTTTGAGTATTTTAGCTCTTCTATCCATAGTGCAATCCACCCCATTCCTAGAGGGGTGGTTTTGATAGGATCCTTATCTAGAAACAAACATTACGAAAATGGTTTCTCATTCCGGTTTACATATCTAATTCATTTACGAATTACAACCCAAGCTAGTTAATCTATAAAATAAGGTAGGCCAACTCCAAAACCATTAATAAGCAATTTCCTTAATGCTCGACTTGAGAAATGAGAACATCTCATGTAAGCAGACATTTTCACTCTTTTGGCATAACAGTTTTTATCACAGCCAATCTCTTAAAGAAAATTCGCCGATCTTTTATATGAACAAAAGGATAAATCTTTCGCATATAGAAATAGAAATATATTTATATTCTTGTCTAGCCTGCTTCAACCACTTTTTCATTATCAAATCATGGTAAATTTCCATTCACAATCAAAAGCAATAAATACAATCAAAGGGCATTCAAGCAAAAATTTAAATGTCGAAGCAAAATCCATGTATGGTTATGGATTTTTGTGCATTTCTCTTATATATGTTGCCAAACAACCTAGAGATTCGTATAAATAAGTTTTGATGTTCGTCCTACTGAAAGATAAGCTTCAACAGTCAATAAGCTTCACCAAGTCTTGCAAGAAGGCATTAATAATCAATTGCAAAACACGACTGTGATCCACACTCAGAGATTCCTAATAAAATATAGGGGTTTTTTGTCTTTAAACCCAAATGTTTACCCAAATTTTGTTTAAACCCAAGTACTTTTATTGGTACCTTTAGACCCATTCATCTTTGTGTATTTATCTTTAACCCCAAATTCTATAATTCATTACATACTTATGTGGTTCCCTCAAAACCTTTTTAAAAAAAAACCAAGTTTACACCTCTCTCTTTTTCTCATTTATTAATTCTCTCTCACATCCTTCACTCTCTTATGTTCTTCTTCAACTCCCATAAACCCATTAAATACTCTTTCAACTCCCTTAATGCTTAAAGTTTAAATACTAAATTTTAGTGGGATTCATGTCTTTTGATATTTTAAGATACTAGTACGGCAATGCACATGCACTCATTGTCATGTTTATATGCAGGCCATAAGTGCACATATTGCAATGATAATTTTCTTTAGGTACAAACTACCCATAATTCATCATTGGAGTATATCAACTAACCTAATCCAAATAAGCACAAACAATTAAATAATGTCATGAATTACCCCCTACTTGCTATATCACGCTTCGATATTATCTCAATCTATTCTATAAAACTATTTCAGAATTATAATTCATACGAGTTAAGGTCGATAATGAAACTAAGACCTTAAATCATCATTACCTTCATCTTACGAGAACTTGGTTACTATTCTACTACATGGGAATGGCTCTGTTGAGTTGGAAGATGTAGCAACTGAGCGCTACTTTGTCAAATGACTGTTGGAAGAAGTTATCGATAATGTAGTTGCAGAAGATGTAAGTCTTAGTTGCAGCACGAGATGAGGAAGTTTTTAGGAGTGCGACACTTGATTTTCTACCTTTTGTAGAAAGAAGGAATAAGAAGAATTATTGGATTCTTAAGAAGGCTGAGGAATCCTCTTAAGATGATCATGCTTCTACCGTAATTTCTCTTGAAGGCACATATTCACATCGCCATTTCTGACATCAATAAATTTTCTGAAGGTTTACAGATCTCATATTTGGGGAGTTATTATCGTACTTGTTCCTAAAGGAACAAATTTATTTCCTACAAGTCTATAGAAGAACAATTATTTACGACTATTTTGGTACAATACAAGACGATAGGTGAGGAGACTGTCGCCTTCATGATTTCTGATGACACTTTGTGCAGGTTAACATATGTAACGCATTTGCTGATGCTTCAAAGAAATCTCATCTCCCTAGGATCGCAAGATTTGAAAGTTTGTCACTCAACCCGATCATGAGATGGAGTCTTAAGGATACACAAACATGTATTAATTGTTATTGTTGGTAGGAAGGTTAATTAGGAACTTTATATGCTTTAAGGAAGCTCAGTTATGCAACAGTAGAGCCTAATTAATGCTCTAATTCGTCAATGTTGATGATTGCATATGGGGATCATGATCAACCTTCATTGGACTTTCGTGCGGAAGGTTCTTTTTTTATTTTTATTTAAAGTCGAGCTCAATCTAGATATGATGATTCTGTCAAAACTGATGATTCTATCAAAAAAAGTGAGGACCATTTTCTAGTGCAAATATATATATATATATATGATTAATGGGTATTCTTAACAAGGAGGGGATTTTCCTCCTTGATAATGATGTGACACAATCCCCACCATGTGAAGGAGAGAGAATAAAGTAGGAGAGAATTTCACATGGTAAAAAAAATAGATTGCCCGATCAACTGATGCATGATTTAGAGGCTCTGAACATATTATTTTTAGCTCACAAACTTTAATGTGCATATCCACTTAGATGATCTATCAAAGGTAGATAGGAAGTTACTCATTAATATGCACACAACACGAGGTATACCAATAAAATTTACACTTTGTAGTCAGTAACATGTATATTTGCTATTTCATGTCTTTTGACGTTAATTAAAAATAAATGTCTAGCAATTGCACAAATAGTTAGAAATGAAAAAACATCCTTTATTAAATTTCAATAAATCTGCAACTTTTTTATGTTAGTTTTCGTTCCTGGCCTATAAATTTGCAACTTGTAGCTAGTAAATTGTATATTTGCTATTTCACGTTATTTGACACTAAGAATTGTTATGTTTCATGAATACATTTGATTATTTAAAAGTGATTGGGGACATGATGGCGCCGAAGTGGTCTAATGTATCATGAAGATTTTCAGGGCTAGAGGTATGATGTCGTCTGCCAAGAATTAAATGCTGAGGTGATCTCTCCTCCACTCGCCGACCAATAGCTGTAAAGTAGGTGCTGACACAGCTGCTAAGCCATACTTATTTGTCGTCATCCTGTGCTCGGCCGAAGTGATCGTTCTACACTTTCAGCACCACTATAAATAGAGGTATTATTCTCAACATAAATGGGAGAATTTTTTGAGGGATTTTCTAGGTTATTCTAAGCTATATTTGATAATTATACCGTACTACACTAAAGAACTCACGGAGTTCTTCATTTTCCCACTCAAGTTCATCAACTGACTTGATCGTCGGAGGAACAACGAGTGAACCAGTCCCAGTTCTCTCACGAGTTGCTACTTGTGCAGACTGAAGCTACTCAACTCAAAATTAGATATTCGGAGAAGTGAGCGGCCCCCTAATCAACCTCACCCCCACCATATATTTGACTGTTTGATTATTTAACATCAACAAATACCTAGAATATCTTCTTCTTCAGATATTAAAAATGCTTGTCTAGTTTTTTAAACATAAATATTTGCAAGAAAAAAAACTTAAGAAAACTTGTAACAATGTCTGCAATATAAAAATGTAATTCAATTAAAAACTTAGGATCTTTACATGGGCCAAATATGATAGGATCTTTGTGCGGGCGAATTGTAGCTTTGTTATAATATAGCTTCTATAGTGTCACCTAGGCCCAAGTACATCACATTGGTAGGTTGGGCTCAGATGAATTTTGCCCAATTATACTAAATTGCTAAAAAAATTGTTGTACTTCAATAAAAATAAAATAAAGCAGAATGCATCTAAGTATCGAGAAGTATTATGGGTTCTAAATTTTCAAATCACAAATTCCATAAAGAAAAAAATTTCAAATCATAAAAAATTGCATACAAATTAAAATCTAATTTAAAATGCAATCTAAATTGTTGCATACTCATTTTTTTCAACCACAAAGAAAAACCAATAGGAGTTTGTACAAAACTAAAAAGATTAAAGCGAGGGATTACATTTTTCTCTCATTTGTTTGTTCATTTCTAATGTTGTCATTTCTCATAAATTGTTATAGAAAATTCCTATACTCATGCATTACTCAAACAGAGTGGGAAATAAAATCTTATTATTGGTTTTATTTCAATACAAGTAGAATACAATAATTAAGAAGATAAATGTTCAACAAAAGCTAGATACATCCGTCACAAAAGGAAGCTAGACGCATGTTTTCAGACATCACATAATAATCTGAGAAATCTTCACTCCGCACAAAACTGACTTGAACAATAAATAGCAAGCGATACTCCTCGCTTCTTGATGATAAGACATACATTTATATTAGAAATGAATAGTTCAATCACAGTCTTCAAAAGAGTACAAAATCAATCAAATAACTTGAGAAAATTACCATGTATCGCCGGAGTATACATGGAGGTCTCGGAGGTGAACTCCGACTCTTGTTTCAACAATCTGACAGAGGGCGGTGTTCGGGGATGGCAAGGAAGATATATGAGAAAGATATATTTGGGGATGATACAATTTTCATAGTATGTATAGTGATAAGGAAGGAGGCTATGCGTGTGATGGGAATTTGAAGAGATTTAATAAGGAATAATAGGATTTAAGAGAGTAATAGGGACTAAGATTAAGAAGTTAGAAGGATAGAAATTGAGAGGTAGAAATGAGAAATAAATGCTGACAGAATGAAAGGGGAGCTAGTTGAAAAAAGTTTTAATGTCTCACATAAAAAAAATTAAAATCCATTCAAGCTCACAAGAGAATCCAAAATGAAAAGCTTTGGTTGTCCTCTCTCATTGCTCTCCTATACCTAGATCTGATTTGTATAGTAACTGCTTACATGCATGCATAATGCTTGCAAAGATTTTATTATTCATCATAGTGAAATCAATTCTTTCTCTAGCATTTTGCTTGGATGCATTGTTCCGTTTCAACCTATCACCCATATTTAGATCTCCTAAATAATTACTCATTTATTAGTATTATATGAGATGGATATCAATGTGTTCAATCATGTATGTGTGGATGTATGGATGTTTGAAGGGTTAATTATCACATTTATATCGAGTACCCATGCATTCATGTATGTATGTATGGATGTGTTAAAGGACATTTTGAGGGGAAATGTTTTAACATGCCAATCCATTTTTATAATAGTATAAGATAAGATAATTTCTCTCAATTCCTCAACTTCTAGTATTGTAGCATAAATCCACAAGCATTTGGGCCAATTATTGCATTAATTTATTATTTTATTCAACATAATTTTTATATTACTATTCATGATTTCTCATGATTGTTTATTACAATTAATAAGAATTAATAATACTAAAAAATCAAAATATTGATTTTAATTTCAGAATCTTGATTTTGATTTTATCATTCTAAGTTTAATTTGTTGTGAGACCAAATTTCATATTAAAATTTGCTTTAAGTTGAGTATCTTGATAAAATTTGCACATTTCATTTTCTTTTTTGATAAAGAGAGATGGATGATGGATTGTGCTGTGCTTTAATGGATTTTAGGAAAAAAACCACTTCTTTAATTCAATGTCAATGGGAATCACAATGATTTAGTGGTTATGGTGCAAAGTATAATTGCTTGTGGTGCAAGCATAATGTGATTGACTTACAAAGTTCCATACACAGAAGAAGTTTTTGTGTGTGTATGTGACGATGATGATGTCTTGATGTCCTAATGTAATCTGATTGATGTGTCTAGTCTAATTGTGCTTGGTCTAATTATCTATTAATGTGTTTTCCTACTATACTTTTATTAATACTTGCTACACTTGTGTTTTATCCCACAACACTTCCAAAAATATTTGCTATACTTTTAGTAATATATGTTATACTTTCAAAAATATTTACTATACTAGTATACCTGCTTTACTTCTAGAAATATATGCTATATTTTTAACAAAACCTACTACATTTTTGTTTTATCCTGCTATACTTTCGGAAATAACTACTAGTGTTTTTTCCCGCTATACTTTCAATGATATAGTTTTGAAAATACTTGCTACAGTTTCAAAAATACATGCTATACTTTTATCAATACTTGTTATACTTCAAGAAATGCATGCTACACTTTCAAATTACCTGCTATACTTTTCAAATTTGCACCACAACCACTAGATCATTATAATTCCCCTTGGCATTCATTTTAATGAAGCGATTATTTCCTCTAAAATCCATCAATGTACAATAATTTATCATCCATCTCTATCTGTTATAAAGGAAAACTAAATATGCAAGTTTATCAAAGATAGTCAACTTAACATAAATTTAAAAATGAAATTCGGTCTCACAACAAAGTCAACTTAACATAAATTTAAAAATAAAATTTGGTCTCACAACAAATCAAAATCAATTATGAAATTAAAATCAATTTTCTGAAAATAAAATCAACATTTTGATTTTTTAGTATTATTAATTATAATAAACAATCATGAGGTATCATGAATAAACATGTGAAAAATTATGATGGAGAAAATGACAAATTAATGTTATAGTTGTTCCAAATGCTTATGTGGATTTATGCTAAAATTAGAAGTCAAAGAATTGGAAGAATCTATAATATAGAATACCAAAAAAGAGATGAATGCCACTAAATATTAGTGTTTAAACTTTAGACATTAATGGAATGACGAAATATTTAATGGATTTATAAGAGTTGAAGAAGGAAGTAAGAAAGTAAAAAAGGTGAGAGAGAGAATTAATAGAGAAAAAGATAAGGGTAAAATTGTATTTTTTTTTAAGTTTTATTGGGGGACCACATAATTATGTAGTGTATTTGAGAATTTGGGAATAAAGATAAATACACAAATATGATTGGATCTAAAAGTACAAAGAAAAACATTTGGGTTTAAACACAAATATGAGTAACCTTTGGGTCTAAAGACAAACCCCTAAAATATAACCTATTAGTCCAGGATACCCATGTCCACTTGAGTAGCTTTTTTTGTCTAAACTATATGCCAGTTATCTAGGGATAGTCAATAGGCAGACAAATACTTTGTCAATCTCCCTTATTAAATTTCAGTACATTTCTTTCTGAAAGATTTCTCAGTTGCTTCTTGAAGCATTCCCCAGAACTTACATTCGAACATGTTTACCAACTCTTTTTTAAACATTCAAGTATCTGACACCAAGCCATCGATGTTTTCCTTACCATATCAATCAGCTTTGTCAACTCTACTTCCTAAATTTTCACCAACACATTTATCACTACGTTCTTATTTAATTACCACGCAACCATTTTTAATATTATCATTACAAATGCATTCAACAAATTTGCATGAGTTATACTTATTCCCCAAAGTTCTAAGCAATATAAAATTGTCCTTATTACAGTTCACAAAATTTCCAATATACAAAGCATTCTCCCAAAACACGTCAGATGCATATATTATGTTCCCACAACAGCATTAGTCATCGGTCATCACAAGCTGCAAAGTAACACATTTTGATCTCTCTTTTTGTATCTAAAAAAAAACTTAGCATTTGTAGTCCTTCATGTTATTTATTTAAGCCTGTAATGCAATTCCATTCAGTTCTCGCTTTTTTAAGCCTTTTACAAGTGACTTTGAATGTGATTCCTTAGAGACTACTTAGCTATGTAAACTGCATTCCAGTTTAGGAGAACTTATTAGACATATGAGCTTAAACTGAAAGTAGGTTAAACTACACCCACCAATTGGCCATCTAGGCTTCGCCCAGTGCGTCTCAAGGCAAATCAAATTTCTTCCCTAAGATAAAGATAAAGTGGATTCCCTCGGCATCATCAAAAGCCCTGACATATGTGAAAGCGTGAATAACGAAAGGAAGATACATGACTTTATTACTGAATGCATGCGAGAAACTTAGTTATTCTGGTCTGATGCATAGTCCAGATGCAAATCTAGAATCTATGGATAAATGAGACATATAGAACAAAATATTTTTGCACTTTAGCAACTAAATGCACCGAGTTAAGAGGACGGAGACCTGTCAACACCACGATGCTCCAGCTCCAAATCAATTTTCCTCCAATCCTTTCCCTTTGCTTGCAACAAAAGCTCTCTCGGCTTCGCATCTCCAAATGGGTTCACCTTCGGCCTAGCCCTAACTCCTTCACCCACCTGCGACGCTGGAGTCTCCGCCCTATTCGACTGAGCACTTGAAGGCCTACTAGAATGTGAGCTCGTTGGCCTACTTATTGACTTGGCTTCAATCTCTAAGTCAATCTTCTTCCAATCCAATCCCTTTTCCGTCAACACCTCCTCTCTGGGCCGGGCTGCCCCAAATGGGCTGGGCCGGGTCTGACTCTTCATAGCCTCATCCACTCTTCCTACATCCTTTTTTGGTGGGTCAAGCACCAATCTCCTCCTCTCTCCATTACTGGTGCTGGGTACTCTTTCTCCTCTAACCCATCTATCTGAATCCGAAGCCGGATTGAAAGAGCTCCTAAACCCGGATCCGAAACTCTGCACGGGCTTCTTGCCCGCAGCCCAATTGTCAACCTCATCAGCCCTCGACCCACCACCAAGAGACCCATATCGATCTTGCCCGCGCCCACGATCCATCGGCGCAAACTGCTCTTGCAACGGCCCAATTATCACGCTCATCGGCCCGAGACGGTAGATCCATATCCGAAACCCTAGACTGCGGCCCTCCCGCCTCTGCTCATCATTCAAACCCCCCTCCTCCGCCTCTCCTCGGCCCGCCCGGCCGCCTCCGCCGTAGGAGGAGAACCCCCGTCGACCGAACTCGAGCTCCTCCTGCGCGCGCTCACGTGGCCCAGTTGGAGTCGGAGGACGCTCGTCAAAATGAGGATCGGCGACGAATTGAGTGAGGGGGATTGGGACGGGCTTTTTCTTCTTGGGCTTGGATTGCGAAGCCTCCTTCAGAGAGGGGAAGCTCTGTGGGTTTTGTGTTTGGGCTTGGGCCGAGGCGGCGAGCTCTCGTTCCTCTGCCTCGGCCTGCTCGGCTTCGAGGGCCCAGGCGCCGACGCCGCCCCAGGGCTTTGACATCGCTAGGGATTAGTTAGGGTTAGGGTTTAGGGGAGCCAGGGATGAGAGGGAGCGCAGAGGGGAGAAGACTCTGGAGAATGAGAATGAGAGAGCATCGAAGGGGAGATCCCTTCTTGTACGTTGAAGTTGGAGATGACAAGGAAAAATAATAGTGTAAAAAGAAAAAGGAGGGGTAAAATAGAGAGAGAGGATGTTGTGTTTTTATTGGTTTGAGGATTATTTAAGTGTTTTTTTCCGATATTGGTCCTCCCCTCAGATGTTTCACATTTTAAATCAGTCCCTCCAATCAATGAAATTGCTATCGGATCCCTCAATTCTTAAATTCTTCTAAACTTATCCCCTCACGTCATTGAAATTGCTGTTAGGTCCATCAATTCTCAACTTATGCTGAGATTATCCCACTCCAATCGAGACTAGAAAATAGCAATTGAAGGGACTGATTATTTGAATTAAATTATGGGAATTGATGGAACTGATGGTTCACAAACAATAGTATATTTTACTTGGTACTCCCTACTATGGCTACTTCTACTCTTGATTGGAGAGACCAACTTCAAAATAAGTTACGAATTGCTGGATTTAATAGCAATTACAAAGATTTAGGGTCTAATTCAAATCAATTTAAAATTTAAGGAGCCTAATAATAATTTCCATAACCGAGGGGCTGCTGTTAAAATATGAAGCATGTAAGGGACTAATATGAAAAGAGTTCGTTATTTTGTTGGGTAGGTCTCGTGGGAGACATTGTGTATTTTAAGTTTTACAATTTTAACAATATTACTTTCAAGAATTGGATTTTAAAAAGTAGGGTCTTTTTTATTTATGATATAAGACCGCCACATCTTCTGTGTTTCTGTCTTAGATTCCTAAGTATCGGTATTTCTAAATAAGTCCTCCAAATTCTTTAAATTATTTGTTGTTAGTTATGCAAAGACAACAAAGCAAATAATTACAACTGGGATTGTAGTTGTGACTGTCTTTTATAATTTGCAATTACAGTTTCATTTGCCTTTTTTTTTTTACAAATCAAACAGTTCATTGATGTCTTTGTGCTTCTGGAGGATTTTTTTTAACACCTCGAACTATGTTATATTCACAATTTAAAGCTATTTGATTTTGTGGAGGCTTTTCTCGAAGTTGTTTTTTATTTCCAATTCTGTGGTTTTGACTCTTTTGGGCTTCTCGAGATTTACAATATTCTTACTTGTCGTTTATTGCTTATTGCAGCGGTTTTAAATGTTTTGTACTCTTTGAGGAATGCGCACAACGTGTCATCTACATTATAGCCTTACAGCTGTGTTTACGTTTCTCGTGGTTCTCGAGACTCTCCTCTTCACATATTACCCGCCAGTCAGTTTGGCGTTTCCTATCTTTTTCGTCTCTCAAGATTCGTACACATGTTTTAACTTGCTTTGTTTCTTGAAAATAACTTCTTTTTAAGAAATTGACCTAGTGGTGTCAACTTTCCTTTTTTTCTCCTCGAGATGTTCATTTCAATATGCTCTTTCAGGTTTCCACGCGGTGGTTAAGTTATCAAGTATAAGTTTCAAAGAACCATTTATGAATTCTAAGAATTTTATTTAGTCAAACTTCTCTTTCCAAACTCAACGAATGATTTCTTGCGAATTATGGTAAAAATCTTGTTTATTTGCAATGTATATTGACAATACATGTTTCCCCCAAAGCTAAGAGCATCGTATATGGGGGATGGGTCATGCCCAACCCATAGAAAATAATTAATGGAGAAATAAGAATACTAGAATACTACTGTAGGAGTCAATTTACAAATTAAAAAAAAAAGTAAAAACCTAAAACCATGCTTCTAATATAAAAGATATCGTGCAGAGAAGCGCATTTATGAGATCAAAAAATTAGGAAAGGAAACATTGAGTTCTCATTCATCATTTGTCACATTTAAATTCTGATGCGCTTTCAATAATCCCAAGAATTTCAGAGCATCTCCAACAGCTTCCCCATCTTCTTGAAATACTCAATTTTGGGGAATATAGAGGGTTTTTTTTTGTCCAACAGATTCCCCATCTCATTCCTCAAAATAGGGAAGGAGGAGAAAAAATAGGGAGCCTTCCCCAAATCTGCAGCATTCTCCAAATTTTTGGAGAGAGCTTTATTATTGTAATAAATGCGATTTTTCAAAATGGAGAAGCTGTTGGAGTTGGAGCAAAAATAATTTGGAGAATATGACTTTTGTTTCTCCATTTTGGAGAAAATTTTGGGGAAGATGTTGGAGATGCTCTCACACTAAGCTCAGCTAAATAAATAAGGTCAGGCACCAGGAGCATACCATATTTTCGTGGGAGGGGCAAAAAATGTAAGCCCGGGCGCTAATATATAGAGAATCTAAATTTGTGTTACACAAATTTGGCATTGCTTAGAGGCTACTCGAGGTATTGGAATTGTGAAGCAAAAATAATGGAATGGAAATTTTCCTAGGTAATACTTTACTTCCTAAGGTTAGCTAACATAAATAAGGCCCGAATTAATCACACGTTAACATGTTATTTTATACATCATCACACTATTTTCTGTGATAGACATGCATAACCAAACTATTTATAACAACTGGAATATCAGCACGTGCAATAATCTTGCCATCTTAAACTATTCTGATTGCGCATTTATAATTAGTTAGATAATAGAGTACAGAGGAACATAATTGAACTTGTTCTATTTAGTCTAAAACATTAGCGTTGATGATTAACAATGGGATTTAGGGCTGATTCTAAAAAGGTCAGGGTCCCTTAATCTTCTTTGATGGCTGATCCCCCGATAGGATGAGAGTTTTGCACATGTGCAACACGTTAGAGGATCAGAGTTGACTTTTCCGGAGGTTCCTCTGACAATCAAGTTAGCTATGATCTGAATGGGAGAAATAAACTGATATACTTCTCTAAGTGCGTAGAAATTGCGTACATTTGGTCAGTAGGCGGTGTGGCTATTTATATTGAGCTGACGAGGGTATTTATGTAATCTTGGTAGAGTCCAGACAGTCAGCTCATTCGGCTGAGACTCTACAGGTGACGGTCATGGGACCCCTATGATTAATGCGATGGTGATAGAGGGACTACGGTGCTGACAAGGTCCGATTAGTCATTAAAACTTTCAAGGAGGACAAAATGATGATTTTGATCGTGCATTTAATGTGATGGTGATTGGCCGTCGGCGAGGGGTTCAAGAATGACTGCCTTTCATCTCAATTTTACGAGAGGGTTGACAAAAGACGCCTTTCATTTCAACCCTCAAGAGAGACGAGAAGGGACGCCTTTTGTCTCGGCCTTTGAGGGGGACGAGAAGTGACCCCTTTCGTCTCGACCTTCGAGGGAGACGGGAAGTTGGTGTATCTGGGTCAAGTCGGTATGTTGTCTGCTTGAGACACGTGTCAGCCAGTTGAATGTGATTAATACTTGATTATTTCTATGGCACAACACTGGCCCCTTTCGCTCGAACTTGGATGGTCGAGTCCGAGTGAAATTGAATTATTGCCTGTCAGGTATCGAGATGTATTTATGAGGGGTCATTGATGGGTCGCTACTGACATGACGTTTCTGACGTAAGAAAAGATCGTGTGTCAGCATAGCCTCGGTTCCCAAATGCAGATTGCTTGTCAGTTAAAGCGAGTGACGCTTTGGTTCTAGAGCAGTCGCCTCAAATTCCGGAATCATTCCCAGTTGTCCATCAATGGACGAGTCGACCAACCTGATTTTGCTACATGTCGACTCTTTTGCCTATATATACCACTGTTTTAAACCAAAAAAGTTCACTGATAATCACATTTTTATTACATTGCTATACCCTCATTATCTATCTTATTTAAATAAATGTTACAAATAACATGTTTTATCTTAATTTACAGGTTAATGAAAAGTTAATGAATAAAAGACCAATAGAATAAATTTCCTGATTTTTTAACCATTTATTGAAGCCCAATATGAAGACAAAAGAAGGCCAAAAAAAGATGAAGGATCCATGAAGAATTCGGATCAAGAAATTAACAAAAATAAAATTCTATTGCAAACTAATTGGTCAGCCAACCAATTGGTCAAACGATTTGTCAACCAATTGATTCATAATAGAAATAGTTTCTGGTTGAGATCTAATCCTTGTCCTCCAAGCAAAATTTGAGGGCTCTTATTCACTATTGTTGGCTATAAATAGGGGTGTATAGTGATGAGTTTAGGTGTGACAAATTTTGTAAAACTTCATTTGAAGTAAATGGTTCTCTTAATTGAGAAGACATTCCAAAATTGTAAACTTTATTTATAATAAATAAAAAAATTTACCTATTCAAATTTCTTCTTTTTATTGATTGATGAAGATGAGGATGAAAATGAAGATTTACCTTCAAGGGGCTAGAACCCTCTTATAATATAAATTTTCCCTTTTCTTTTATTTTCTTGCTTTAGATATTAATTTTTTAATATTTTCTTTTCTTTTTCTTTTAGTACATAAGATTTATTTTGATACCTTATAGAGTAGATTTATTTTCATGTTTTTTATTATTTTCTTGTATTTTTATTTTGTAATAGAGATTTATTTTCTTGCGTACTTTACATATTCTTTTATGATCTTTTATTTTTGTAGTTTATATTATTTTTATGTTCATCATTTAGAACTTTATTTGCTTACTTATTCTTATTTTTCTCTTTGTAGTTAGTGTAGGCGTCAAAAAATACTAATAGATATCCCAAACATAGAGAAAATCAATCAAAGGGATCTCATATTGAAAATCAAAGCAGGAACGAACTGTCTCGCCAGCGAGACAGGCTTTGCTGTCTCGCCAGCGAGACAGGCTTTGCTGTCTCGCCAGCGAGACAGTGCTGAAATGGTCAAAACCACCTTGATAACTGCCCTACACGTGTCCATTAACTGCCAAGGGACGTGGGAAACATCATGGGCGAAAATCACGTGGATAACTGCCAAAATAACGGAGTTTGAAACGTGAGAGAACAGTTACAGCGAGAAACTGCCATTTTCCGAGACAGCATTTACTGTCTCGCTGAGCGAGACAGCAAATTTACTGTCTCGCGGGTCGAGACAGCAAACGCTGTCTCGCCCAGCGAGACAGTAAACACTGTCTCGCCAGTCTAACTTCATCGTTTGTTGAGTTTTTTCAGTTATGAACTCCAGAGGCTATAAATACCCCCCTAGGG